GATCATTCTCGGTCTGAAATTATTTAAATAGGAAGTACCTCATTTCAGAACAAGGTCGGGCTATTCAGATGTGAAATCTAATGGAGGTGTGCCAGCTAAAAAAAAATGATGCCAAATAGCGAGAAAATATTGTGGTTGTGGATGATTTATTCACTCGTTGATAAGAAATTGTACTGTTTTTGCTGCAGCGTGTTTGCTGTTAATGTTACAGAAGCAACATCCAAATCTGTTACTGGGTTTGATAAGTGGTGGCAACTGAGCCAAAAATTACAAAATCATGAAGCATCGGAAGAGCACCTGTGTTGCCTTGAAAAATGGATACATTTGGCTGTAAGACTTAGGCTACACAAAACAATTGATGCCAAGAGTATTGCCGTGATGGACGGGGAGAAAAAATTAAGGGATATCCTGCACAGGTTGCTGGATATCACATTGTTTCTTGCAAAGTAACATCTGGCATTTCGTGACCACAACGAAGATGAATCTTCATTGAATAGAGGAAACTTTCTCGAAATGGTTGAGATGCTATCTAACTAAATATGACCCAGCCGTTAAAGAGCACATAATGAAACTAAAGAGGAGTACATATACAGTAAAAGCATCTGCATCTTACCTTTCACCAGAAAACCAAAATAAATCTATGAATTTCTTAGCAAATTATCTAAAGGAGATTCTTATCATGGATATAAAGGGTGCGATTTTTGTTGTTGTTGTTGTTTTTTTTTTATTGTTCAATAGTACACCTGATATATTCACACACTAAGCAGGTATCTGAAGTGATCAGATATGTGAAAATTGGAAAGTTGAAGAGAGAGAGAGAGAGAGAGAGAGATGTATTTCTCGGATTTGCCCCTAAAAAGCTGATGACCTCAGTTCTGGCATTCTAGTGATGGACTAGACATAATGATGTGCAGAGCTCAAGGTTATAAGATAATGCTGCCACAATGTCTGGAATCCATGGGCTTAAGCGATCAAGCCATTCTGAAAAGAAATAATAAGAACGCGATTTTTAATGGATGTGTTGGCCATTCGCTTAACTTGTGTAGTCAACTCTTTTTTGTCAAAAATGCTTCATGTATTACATTTGTTGTTGCTACCCTTGAGAGGTTAATTTCCGTCTGCATCCACTCATCGATGGGGTGTTTTAATTAAACACACTGGAGTGTCGGTGAAAAGACTGTCAACAACATGTTGGAGCGCTCTTCATGCTGCTGTTAAGACAGTGAAAGATAAGTTTGAGGAATTTGTGGCGGAGGTTGAATCTCTGTGTGATTCTCTTGACAATTTGGATAAAAGATGTACAACACAAGGACTTAACATGCTGTCTGTGATTTCACTTTTAACTGCCACCTTGACCTTTGGGCTGATCTACTTGGGAAAGTTAATCTTACACAGCAGTATCTGCAGACTAAAGGCTTTACTCATGACAAAGTGGTGACCTACGCAGAGGCCGTGAGATTCTTTCCGCAAGAGAAACGCTGTTACTTGGTGGAACATACTACTGAAAAGGCTCTTTTAAGATTAGACTAATATAGAATTTCGGTAGAGAGAGGATTAAAGTTTAAGGAGAGAATGTCAGGGAAACAATAATAATTAATAGATGGCGGACTCTTTGTGATAAGAAAACAGTTGGGACATGATGGAGTGTATTGATCACTTTCATTCTGAACTGTAAATCATATTATCACCGATCCATGGGCGCCCGCAGAAAACTTTCTAGTTTTAGTAATGTTTTAATGTAGTTTTAATTTACTTTAGCGTATTTGTATGGTGAACGAACGGACAGGACATCAGCTTAGTTACTCTCTCTTTATTTTCTCTTTACTTTAATAATTGTTTTGTCTATTTTTGTCTAAAAAAAAATTATCCAATCAATCCAGGGGGGGGGGGCAAGTGCCCTCCTTGCCCCCCCCCTGCGGGCGCCCATGCACCGATCAAGGAAATAGCAGATATGTTTGGGGCTGTTCTACTATCAGCATTGTATGGTGAACGAACGGACAGGACATCAGTTTAGTTTCTCTCTCTTTATTTTCTCTTTACTTTAATAATTGTTTTGTCTATTTTTGTCTAAAAAAAAATTATCCAATCAATCCAGGGGGGGGGGGGCAAGTGCCCTCCTTGCCCCCCCCCTGCGGGCGCCCATGCACCGATCAAGGAAATAGCAGATATGTTTGGGGCTGTTCTACTATCAGCAATTGAAGAAGAATTATTGGCTATTGGTGTCCCTTCTAAATTAACCCCTTTCTGTGATGAGTTATCAGAAGATGAACTTTTAAATTTTAAAAGAAATTTTAAAAATGCCTTAGAAGACTCATAAAGGCAGCTGCTCTTGAATTTCTCAAAATGATGGAAGGGTCAGTATTTGTTTTGAAATCCATACCTGAATGGGACTTCCTAGAATCTCTTCCAATACTCTCGCTAAGCCTTCAAATGTTTCTTACGATCAGCGTGACCATGGCTTCAAAATGTGAGCGGAGCTTTTCAAAACTAAGGCTGATAAGATTTACGATCCACCATGGGACCGTGAAGTCTTTCTGATTACCTCTACTATCATTGAGAGTGAAATGGTGAATGATATTGATTTTGATCAAGAGATTGATAGGTTTTCAGCTTTGAGACCATGAAAATATTTTTTTTTTTTAAAGTAAATTCAACTTTACGTTGTTACACTACAGTTCTTAAATACATTGACCTCCTGACCTTTAATTAATTTGCTTTGCTTTGTTCTTGTCATTGTTATACTGTGGACTTATTTTAACAAGTCGACGTCCATTGTGGAAGTCGGGGAAGAGGGGGGGGGGATGGTGGTTGACACCATGAGTTTATCGCACCGGGTGACACCAACCCTAGCTTCGCCGCTGATTATCTGTAAAATGCGGAGTGAATTTTCGAAGCCTATCTTCATAACATATATTAAATCTAGATAATTATCAACAAAAAATAGCATATTTCCATGTGGCCCTTTGCACAAAAACTTTGACCACCTCTGATCTAAAAAGTTCCGAATTTCAGTTCTGTAACAATAATAACATTGGATTTTGAGTTAATGGCATGCTCGTTAAAAGGATCAACCCCTTTTCCACGGACCGGAACTATATTTCTTGGAAAGTGGTAAAACACATATAAAAATAATCTAAAAATCCATTGTACAAATTATAAGTTACAACCCCTGGTAAAGGGTTGGAATGTCTAATTATTTAAAAAAAAAAATTCCTATTGGGTGCTTGCATGATCTCTTAATGTAACGTTAAATGATTTGGGTGAGCATCAATTAGTTGGGACACCATATCAGTTATTGCTACTATTCATTTTTAGCTAAACATTTTTTCTAGTAAAAAAAAATGTCCAGTGATAATTTTTAATAGTCGTAGTCTATAGTCTAGAGGCCTATAGCATGATCCATTGATGCTTAAATAGACGCCTATAGCATGATCCATTGATGCTTAAATAGACGCCTATAGCATGATCCATTGATGCTTAAATAGAGGCCTATAGCATGATCCATTGATGCTTAAATAGACGCCTATAGCATGATCCATTGATGCTTAAATAGACGCCTATAGCATAATCCATTGATGCTTAAATAGACGCCTATAGCATGATCCATTGATGCTTAAATAGACGCCTGTAGCATGATCCATTGATGCTTAAATAGAGGCCTATAGCATGATCCATTGATGCTTAAATAGACGCCTATAGCATGACCCATTGATGCTTAAATAGAGGCCTATAGCATGATCCATTGATGCTTAAATAGACGCCTATAGCATGATCCATTGATGCTTAAATAGACGCCTATAGCATGATCCATTGATGCTTAAATAGAGGCCTATAGCATGATCCATTGATGCTTAAATAGAGGCCTATAGCATGATCCATTGATGCTTAAATAGAGGCCTATAGCATGATCCATTGATGCTTAAATAGAGGCCTATAGCATGATCCATTGATGCTTAAATAGAGGCCTATAGCATGATCCATTGATGCTTAAATAGACGCCTATAGCATGATCCATTGATGCTTAAATAGAGGCCTGTAGCATGATCCATTGATGCTTAAATAGAGGCCTATAGCATGATCCATTGATGCTTAAATAGACGCCTATAGCATGACCCATTGATGCTTAAATAGAGGCCTGTAGCATGATCCATTGATGCTTAAATAGACGCCTATAGCATGATCCATTGATGCTTAAATAGACGCCTATAGCATGATCCATTGATGCTTAAATATGCTTAAAATTTCAGAGTTATACTTGTTCAGCTTTATTTATTTGAATCTCAAATTACAAATGTTTATACTGTGCAATTCTTTAGTAATTTATAAGCAAATTATTTAGTTCCTTTTTAATAATGCAGAATAAGGCTTACGACTAGGGCTGATAATGGTTCATGTAACTTTAATAGTTAATTTTTCTATAATAAATAGTTATTTTTGATTAAATAGAAAAAAAAACGTCTGAAGCTACAGATGTGGACAAAACAAATTAACTAAATAGCACACATTTTCTCCCGTTTAAATGTCATCAGGTAACTAACTACACAAGCGCACCAGCATAACAGTATTGGGTTTGAGTGATAATCGTGTGTTATTGACAATGTATCCAACAAAAGCGAAATAAACTTTGAATGGGAACTGAGGTAGCCGATATGCTCAGAAAAGTCTTGGCCAACAATGCCAATTTCAGATATCAATGTTGATTAAGCTTCCATCATTGTAGTGAATCAACTGATTCAGCAACTTTTTTCTAAATTTTATGTTTGAGTAGCTCATCAGCAGAGCTTTCAACATCTTCGTCGGAAATTTGGAATTCGATTATTCGCTAATCCAAAATTTCCAAGTTTTAAAAAATTTAACGATTATTTAATCTTTAATCTCCTCAGCCCTACTTCAGGTGTATTATTTAATTTAACTCAAGGGGTGAAAGTGGGAGAGGGAGAGCATGTGCATTAAATGTGCTTAAACGCATTCATGAAACACTTGAACAGAAACAATATGCTGAGAAAATGCTTTTAATGAAAAATCTCAAATGAAACAACCCAATTATTGCATAAACATCCCGATTATTGCAAAAACATAACTGAATTCTGAACAAAAAATAAATGTTAGCACCATTTTGTAACAAGTCCTCTACAAATGGAAAATACTTTAATAAACTTTAAATTAATGGTAAAGAAGTACAAGTTTTAAAGAAACATTTTTCATATACAGTTAATACAGTGTTAAATTGGAAATTTTAGACTGCCCATTGCTAAATATGTAACCTAAATTGAAGACATGCTACATAGTTCAGAACTACAAAACCAATGAGGGGCCATCCATAAGTGACACCTCTCATCTAGGAATGATTTAGAAAAGAGGGGGGGGGGGGGGTCTTTGAAATTGTGAAAATGTTTTTTGAGGAGGGGGGGAAGTTATCAAAATAAAGTGATGTCATTAATGGATCACCTCTAAAGCAATTTCATTAAGTATAAAGAGTCATGTTGCAAGCATGGCTACCATTAATATCTTTACTAAAAAAAAAAAAATTCTATCTTTGGGAATAGTATAGGAATTATTTTGTTCATTTAAACTAAGCAAATTTTTTAACAAAATTCATTCAAATAAGCATCATGAGGTCTTATCTGCAGTACAAAGATTGTTTGGAATAAGAGTTGAACAAATATATTATGTAATTTTCATCTCCTTTAGCAAACAGCATATTATTCACACAGATTATGAAAATGTTACCCACCCTTCATGATTTATGAATGGGTGCTGACTTCCTTATTTGTACCAAATGTGCTGTGTAAAAATAATATCACTGCAAAGCAGCTACTAGGGCATTATTCTTGCACCTTTCTACAGACAGGATTAATCATTCTGGTCATGTATTAGCAGCACAGTATTTGCACAAAAGGTAACAAATTTTAGAAAAAACTTTTCAAAACACTTGTAACATACAATTAATATAGTATAAAAAATAACATAAACCAGTAAAGTTAAGCTTCTCAAAAACTCATATTGCAAATTAACATAAAATTCTATCTTCCTAGTCATATAAACTAATTTAACTTTCCAAAACACTTGTAACATACATTTAATATAGTATAAATAACAAGAGCCAGTAAAGTAAAGCTTCTCAAAATCTTCCTAGTCTTATAAACTGATTTAACCTTGAGAGTAAGAACACCTCAATAACTACAAACTTGTGAAAAATATCACTTATGACACGTTTTCCATGAAAATAGATGAATGTAATCTTTATATATTGGAAAACATGTTGAAAGTTTGCAATAATTAGTGGTTTAATTTTAATTATTCTAATAAGAAACATTCATCGCTTCAATTATAATTAAAGTAACATTGGATGTGTTATCAGTTAAGTTCAAAAGTTTATAAAACACTGAAAAATAAATGGAATAAAAGTTCTGAAACTCCAGCTGCAAATCTATTTGGAAGACTATTTCTATTTACTACAGCAAAAAGTAGAAAGTAAAGATTTCCACAAACATTAACTAAATTCCTTATGGATTACAAAAAATATTCATCTGTAAGGCTAAGCATAAATACAAATTCTGTAAAGGCAAAAGTAAATTGCATATAAAAATATTTCATACAATTAAAAAAAAAAACAAAAAAAGAAAAAAAAAAACAAGACTAGAAGTCAGAAGGCACATTTAATCAAAGTTAATTTCATGAGTTTTATTTTTACAACTGGCAACCCATAAATTGAGTAGCATTAAAGTTCCTCACTTCTGGTAATCTTCATTCTAGCTTTTTCTGGATCAATGTTGTCGATGGCTGCTTTAATGGTATCATATAAATCTTCAGGTCTTGTGTCTGGACCCCAAGCACCAAGCACATGTCCTGTGTGGTCGACTAGATATTTCCAGAAATTCCAAGTGGGTTTCTTATGACTACGTCCTGTTAAATAAAGAACAGTGTTTTTTTTTAAATAATTTTTTAAGTGAAATATTTCAAACCAGTATCTTTTTCCAAGATTTGAACAGGCAGTTCATGATAAGTTTATAGGTGTTCATTATGTTATATTCTTGTTATAAGAACATTTTAGAAAATAGGAAAACATTTGATCACTTAAAAATGCAAGTATATAAAAGATCGTGTACAAAAGGGACGGATGGCAACCTACAGTCCAGACGCAGCTTTTGCTTGACAGAACCCAGGGCCTAGTACTAACTTTAAAGTCAGAACTGAAACAATTTTGCACATAGCATCATCAATATCACCTTCTGCATTGATGTCAATGGATTCTTCAGTCTGAAAGTTTTCTTCTTCTTCTATATCTTAAGGGCCCACGATCAATTTATTGATCATTTTGGCTCCTATGCATGTAGATGGGATTTGCAATGTTTCTGTTACTGGTGTTGATAAGGAAATCATGCACTTGGGGTTTGAAGGCTGGATGCAATAGACAAATGTGTCAATAGACACATTTAATAGAATAGACACAAAATGTGTCTAGTGTTGTCGCCTCAACCGTTCCTTTTGAAAGATTGTTCCAGTCCCTGATTGTCTTGGGCAGGAATGAGCAGCTCCTATACTGGCTTCTTGCTGGTAGGAGCCTGAATTGCCTGTCATGGCCTCGTCGCTGTCTATGGGGGAGAGGGACGAGTTTCTGTTTAATACTGGAACAGTGGACCAGCCCATTATTTATCTTGTACATCATGGAGAGCCTGGATTGTCGTCGTCGTTTCTCCAATGGTGACCAGCCTAGTGTTTATAGCATGCTGCCAACACTAGAGGTATTCCTGTAGCGGTTTAGGACAAAGCGTGCTGCTCGTCGCTGGACCGCCTCCAACCTGTCAATGCTCTTCTGGGTAAATGGGTCCCAGACTGAAGATGCATAATCTAAAATCGGACGGATAAAGGCTTTATATGCTCTTTCTTTCACACTGGAGTTGCCAATCTTTAGATTTCGCCTTAAGAACCCTAGGGTCTTGTTTGCTTGGTTACATACATTGTTAATATGCTCGTCCCTGCGGACCTCTCTTTGAATGGTAACACCCAGGTACTTTACGGAGGAAACTGGCTCAAGTATATGGCCGTGCAGTTTGTATTGGTAGTGTAGAGGAGTACAACTTCTAGAGACTGATAGTGTCTGGCACTTGGAAGGGTGAAATTCCATGTCCCAGCTTATCTCCCACTCTGCTAACAGATTGAGATCCTGTTGTAGTTGGTCCTGGTCAGATCTGTTGGCGATCGTCCTATACACTGCAGTGTCATCTGCGAACAGTCTTGCCTGTTATGTCAGTTTCTCGGGTAGGTCAATGTATGCTAGGAACAAACAGGGGCCGAGGACTGATCCCTGGGGGACCCCTGACTTCACATAGACAATGGAGGAGCTTGTACCGCCCACCACTACTGCTTGGCGTCGGTGGCTGAGGAAGCTAGAGATCCATGTTTTAGTGGTGCCTTGAATCCCATATCTCTGGAGTTGTGTAGAAGCAAACTATGATTCACACTGTCAAATGCTTTTGCGAAGTCCATTACTAGCACGTCAGTCTGCTTGTGGTTCTCCAGATTGGTCATCAGGTCTTCTACAAATTCGAGAACCATTTGAAACTTTCATAATCATAAAGAAGAGAAACCATTTGAATCCTTCATAAAAAGAGAAACCATTTGAATCCTTCATAAAAAAAAGAAATCATTTGAATCCTTCACAAAGAGAAAACCATTTGAAAACTGTATGGTAGATGGCTTTTTAAGCAGTTGTGCTCAACCAGGCAGGTGCTGGCAGCTGAAGCAGCAAACTTGGACTCAACTGTGCATTAGGCATTTTTTTAAAAATCAAAGATTGTCATAAAACTGCCAATATATACATGATTGATTTATTCACTTACCTATGATATATTGCCATGTTGGAGGAACATCACGCTCCAATACATTAATTTTAGCAAACATTGGAAAATTTGATCCCATCTTATTTCGGACAAAGCTGTAAATTTCCTCGTTAGTCTGGAAAGAGAAAAAGTAATTCATACTTTGAACTTTGAAATGTACAATGTGAATGATATTTTAGATGTGTTACTTACCATTACATGGTTTTGAAAATTTAATCCGTTTGAAGATTTGAATCGTAGAATGAACAATATGTTAATAAGGGGTGAAAACCAGTATAGTGTGCAATTATATAACATCTCATATTTTCTAGGAAATACAGATAAAATCTCTCCCAGCGAGGCACAACCATCCAGAAAAGAAATTCTAGAAATTCTTTTAAAAAATAGTAATAGAATGTATTCAAATGTAAACAGCCTTTTCCCAATCATGGGAGGGGCGTATAGAAGGAGTGGCACCGCACATTTAATCAGTGATGTCAATATTAAACAAACAAAAGGGATACAAGCGGTGGTGGCCACAATGCTAAAATTTGGCTTACACACATGCCATAACAGACGATTAATTCATTACTATTATGGATTATTATTTTCAGGGAGAAAATATCGAGTAGATTGGTTTTGCTTTCATATCATTAGTCCCTACCATGGTTTGGCTATGTAAACATGGATTGGATGATGATACCATGAATAGTAAAGAAAGAAATCATTCAGATGATAATATTCGGACTATTCAAATTAGCTGACTGAAACTTTTGATTCTTGTACCTGAAAAGGTGAGTAAGTCTGATCGCGACCAAGAAAAGCAAACCATCATGGTCTAAAATATGTTGAATTAACCTGCCAACTTACATAATACACATTTTTCATGAAGAGCCTTTTTTGAAATTCTTTCTGCAGAATTTTAAAGATTTACTTTTACATTGTTATAAAAAGGCATCACAACCAATGGGCACTCTCTACATTCAACCCCTTCAGTATCTTGCATATGCTGATGACATAGCACTGCTAGGGAAAAGTATTAAAGACATATAAAAATCCTTTAATGAATTAGAAGGCGCATCACTATAAGCAGGGCTGGAGGTTAACAACCAAAAAACATGCCTATAATAAGAGAAGCAAAGACAGATGAAGTCAAAATTAGAAACAACGCTTTTGAAAATGTAAATCAATTTAAATACCTAAGATCTTATTACCTAATTGAAAGAAACGAATTACAGAAATAAAAAAGAATATCAGCATACTTCAGTAGTCAGAATATACTCAAAAACGTTACAAGAAAAACAAAAAAAACTATTTATAAACTGTAATCAGACCAGTTGTAACATACTCGGTTGAAACTTGGACCTTAACAAAAACGGACCAACAAAAGATGAATATGGAGGAAGAATACGAACCAACCAGGAATTGTACAGTTTAAATCAGGATCCCACACTAGTAGAAGAAATAAAAAAGGGTAGGCTACGCTGGGCAGGACAGGACACTTAGAGAGAATGCCAAATGACAGAGGAACGAAGAGGGTGCATCACCAATACCCCAGAGGAAAAAGGCTCAAGCAGACCTAGGCTTAAATAGATGGATGAAGTGGAAAAAGATCTACAACAAATGAAAATCCAAGCATGGATAATAAAAGCATTAGTTAGGTCCAATTGGAAGGAAGTAGTGAGGCAGGCTAAAGCCCTACATGGGCTGTAGCGCCACAGGGATGGATGAATGGAAAAAGGCATCACTTTAAAATTGGTCCTTAGAAAATCTGCCGCTGCCCCACTCCCTACTGGCTTATGCCACTTGGTACATGTATTAATTTTATATAAAATTCTAGGCAAGAGCCTGCTAAAGTGGAGTAATAAACATTTTAAAAATGTTTTTGTTATAAATGGACGATTATTTGATGCAAACGTAATTAAGATCCCAAATTCTCTAATTTACAATTATATTTTTTGAGAATTTAACCAATAGTATTGTCAGTTTCACTAATTAAAGGCAACAAAGAAATAATTAGTATAGATTCAAAGTTATGTACCCCAGGCTCTTGTTCACCAAACTGGTTGCATGGGAATCCCAGAACTGTAAACTTGTCAGTGTCTTTAAATGCTTCTTGTAAATAGTTGAGTCCTTTGTAATGTCCCTCAGTATAGCCACACTGACTAGCCACATTTACAACTAATGAAACCTGAAATAATGCAATAAAAGTCACATTACGACTTTTTGAGGCTTGACTAAGCAAGAGTAGTTTGGATGTTTGATCGTTCACCCCTATAATATTTTACAATAAAATAATTTTAATTTTCACACTTCAATTTTTAAAATTAGCATACTTTGCCTCTATATTTTTCCATTATTATAATGTCATTTTCAATATCCATTGCAAAGAGAGAGTAAAAATCTAATTCATTTGAACTGTCTTGGTCACCCTTCTCACATGGCTGGAGCAGAGCTGGCACAATCAGAGCTGCTAATACAAGTGGCAAGTATTTTGTTGAACCGCTTCTTACTGACATGATACTGTATGACATCTGAAACCCAAAAAAGGAAGAAGAAAATATTGATACTTTGTTACAATAGTGTCACTAGGGAATAATTTTAAATGTAGGCTATATCTACATGCTCTAAATTTTAATACTATCATTCATAAATTTAATACTATGGTGATTGATAAATTTAATACTACAATGACAGCAACTATGACGATTTGTTGTCAGGATTCAAAAGGTAACAAAAAAAAGTATTGTACATGCTAAATTATTAATTGTTTGGTAACAGTGTCTGTAATAGAGATGAAAAAGAGGATTTTTTTTTTTTGAAATAAAATTAAAATTGATGGGATTTGTTTTTCAACATTTCTACATCACTTTCACAGGTCATAAACAATATATTTCTAGAAACAAGGATAAAATATTTAGAATAATTTCATTACTTGCAGTAGTGTTACATCGTACTTAATAAATAGGCAGTGTCTATCTCCCGCACTATTTGTCCGGTGACCAAGTCACATGACCGCCGTAACAAAGTGGCGAGAGATATCTTGTCTGTCAGCGAATGATTCAAAACTATTGTTAATTTTAAAATCTATTTCTCTACCAAGTAATGTACTTAGTATCTTAAATGCAAATAATAGAAAAAAACTTAAAGTGGCTTGTAAACATTTTTGTTTAGTTTGTTATGAGTTTGTGTACAATAATCCATAAAATAAATTAGGGGCCAGTGTGGAGTAGGCAACCAATAAAAGAAAGATTTCATTTTAAATTGTTTAAATTGCTACAAAATATTTAAAAACTTCTCATGAAACTACTGTTGCTGATGAACATGATAATACAAATATATTATAAAATATTTTTAATTAAAATGGTGAAAAAAGAAAACAATCCTTTCCCCGGAATCGATCCTCAAATCATAATAACATTAAACAACCACTCTATCACTAGACCACACAAGATCAACGAAACTGCACTTCGTTAGGAATAATAAAAACTACTGGCGTGACATACCGCCGGACGTATATCTTGCGCACTATTTGTCCGGCGCGCCGGACGTGTAGACACTTCGTAATAAATAATAGTATTTCTCATCTGAAGTTGATATTAATATTATTAGATCATATTTTTAAATTCAACATCTGAGTTATAAACTCTGGAAATCCAAAACTGCCCAAAAGCTGGAAATCCAAAACTGCCCAAAAGTAAAAGAAGTCACCAGTGCTATCAATTTATTGAACTAAAAGTATAAGAGAGGATAAATGGAACAAAACGTAAGCCAGTTGCCTTGAGCCTTGATTGAAAATGGTATAGTTTATGCCCATTAATTATAAATACTAATTCTAAACACTTAAACACATTCAATATGCAAAAGTAAAGCTTATTTTAGCCATTCAATAACGAATATTGGTCAGTGGTCAGCTCTCCTTATTTTTCCAATTGTCACACAAATACCCATGGATAGGATACTAATGACTCTGAATTACACACTAATCACACTTTAACTATAGCGTAAACTACCACTTTTTAAATTTGTTACTATCTCAACTCAAACTCAAATCAAATTCAAACACGGAGTCAAGACTTTGGAGTTTGGGTAAGGTCACGATTTGAAGAATTCACTGCTCTCAAATCAAGGGTTGTCAAAAGTAGTCAAACTCAACCAACTCACGAAAATAATATAACTGAATAACTTATACCTATTAAATTGTATTTCAATATCATGATTCATGAATATCACGATGTCAATGTGTCGTGTGAGTGAGTACGATTTACAACAAATTCACGTTAAAATAATATTACTATTATGAATATGACATGCCGTGGCCGTGACCTGTGTCTGATTGGTGCCCTCGTGATGCTGCTGTAAAAACAACAAACAATATTACAGATGTTTTTTTTTAAAAAATTACTACTTGTAGCCTAATAGCTGAGTGACGTTGTTTAAAAAAAAAATAAAATCCATAGGCCTACTAATCTCTTTCTCAGCTGACTACAGTTTTGTCACGTCGAAGAAAACGAAAATCCTGCATTTTAATGCACAGTAACTTCCAGCAGTGTAAAAACTTCTTCAATTAAAAAAAGGTGTGAGGGGGGGGGGATTAATGCCTTTTTTAATGAAAAAAAAACCAACCTTTGTTGATCTACTTAACACACCCCCACCATCACCAAAAAAAAAAAAAATGTATTAAAAAAAAAAAAAAAAAAAATTGTATTAAAAAAAAAAATAAATAAATAATTAAAAAGAAAGAAAAAAATAAATAAATAAAATTTTAAAAAATATACATATTCATATAGAATTTTTTTTTTTTTAAAATCCTTCGACGATATAGATCTAAACAAGAAAAGGGGTTAAGGGGAGAGATTGCAATCAGGTTAGCACAATATAAAATGAGTAAAACAAAGAAGTGTTAAACCTGAAAAAAAAAAAGAACACAACAAAACATCGAGGTTTTAAAAAGAAAAAAAAAAAAAAAAAAAAAAGGGTAAAAGGGAAAAAATGCAAACAAGAAAAAAAAAAAAAAAAAAAGAAAAACAAAAAAGGTTAAAACCAGAAAAAAAAAAAAAAAGAACGCAACAAAACATCGAGGTTTTCGGCAGAAAGCCTTCTTCTGAGAACAAAACAACAGAAAAACCGGTATAAAAATAAAATGTCCATTTCTTTTGCTGCCCACGGATACTACTTAAACTATTTCTTAGCTAAATGCTATTTTTGCGTTCCTTTTTTTAAAGGATTCAATTTCTTTGTTTTACTCATTTTATAAACAAGAAAACGTTTTCGTTTATCAAGTAGAATAAAAAATGAAATTGATTTTAAAATAGAAAATTTATTTCACAGCAAATTGGGAAACGAGCTTACCACTTCACTTTTAAAGGATATTGCATTATTCATTTACAATGGACAATATGGGCATCATGATGCTCCTAGAAGGGTGAGTCCCCGAGACAAGTGCGTCCCCTAAGAGTGAGTGCTCAGTGTGTCCATGCCTCGGGCCACGACCTACTGGAACTCTAGTGGGTCATGCTCAGCACTGCCTACGAGTCTGTCTGCTCTGGGGACACTGCTCTGGCATCAATCTGCTCTGGCGGTAGGCCTACTCCACTCTGGTGGTTGCCTATTGAGCTCATTAAATGCACAGTTTTCTGTAAAGAATTCATTGACCATCAATGACCTTAACATTGTCGCTTGACATTATTATCACCATGGAGACATGGTTTCATGAAGGAGGTGATGAGATGACTGTTAAAGACAATTCCCTGCCGCCCATGTTTTTTTTTCTCCACCGTCCTCGGTCTTCTGGTCAGAGTGGTGGGGGTTGGCTGTGATCCATCGATCCTCCATTACTGTAAAACTGTGTAATGTGCTAACGTTCACTCCTTTTGAGAGTTTAAATTTTTTGATCTCTCACGGCATACAAATGGTATGAACTGTCGTTCTGTACAGACCCCCGCCTTCTACTGCTAATAAGCTCAAAGACACCATGTTTCATAAAGACTTGGGAAAACTTGTAACCTCCACTGGCAACTAGAATATTTTCCACCCAAGGTGACTTTAACGTTCACTGGGATGATCCAGATTGCAGGCACATTCGTCTTCTTACGCAGTTGTTTAACTCGGCTAATTTAGTTCAGCATATTTCTGCACTAACGCATAGGCATAGGAATTGTCATGTCTTGGACTGGGTTCTTTCAAGATCCGACAAAAGTGTATTAGTTCAGTCTGTGAATATTGACGTTATTCTCTTGTCTGATCACTTCCTTGTGTGGTTACAACAAATATGACTAGGCCTGTTGCCCAGAGGAAGAAAAGTCAAGTTAAGAACTTCAAGAAGATGGATATGAATTCTTTTCGGAATATTATTTCTGGGACTGAGTTAGTGAAGTCGCCACCTAAAGATATTGAACAACTAATCCTCCTCTACAATCGGATTCTCCTCTCTCTGTTGGACACATATGACCCAGTAACAAAATGCCCCAGTAACATAATTTATTATTAAACTAGTTTGTTAGTGACAGATCTGAATCCCCTTGGTTCACTCTCATGGAGAAGAAGTGGTCTTGAAGTGGACAAACAAACATTTCGGAAAGCAAAGAACATTTATGTCCAAGAAATCAGACAAGTAAAGTCTGAGCATGTTCAGTCTCTCCTTAGGGCAGCAGGTACTGACTCTCGCAAGATGTTCTCTGTAGTGAATGACCTTCTCGGGAAGAAATCAACACCCTTTGTATTGTCTGACATGAGAAGCGGGCAAGCTGCAGTTAAACTGAAAAAATTGAAAAACCAGAAAGAGCTTTGGGGAATTTTGTGATTTGTCTGCAGTGGATAATGTATTTGAATGCAACCCTCCAGTGGAATTCTTTGCAGTTTCCCAAGAACAGTTGAGACGTGTCAACATGGCATCTAAACCTACATCTTCTATTGACCCCATCCCAACCAAAATTGTTTTGGACTATTTTTTCCAGAAATCTTACTTCCCGTACTGACATTGTGAATAGTAGCCTTCAGTCATTCAGTCAGCCACAGTCCCACTTCTCTTCAAGGCAGCGCTCGTTAAGCCTCTGCTTAAAAAAAAGTGGTGGCACCCTGCTTTTGTATTTAACATACATCTGTTATGAAACCGACTTGATCCAGTTCTGTCAAATTACCTATTTTCCTTTTGGTGTCACTCACTCGCCTGTAAGGGTGTCACTCCTCAACCAGGGGTGTCATTTCAGTTTTTTCAGGCGGGGGAGGGCAAAACCAAAACTAGGTCGGCATGTTGTTTATAACTGTACGCGCCACAGTACTTAACACTTTAAATAAAACCAGCACCTTCGATGGGGGGGGGGGGGAAGGGCCGGGCAAAAGCAACACTAGGGTCTATGTGAACTGATGGATCTAGGCCTAGCATGGTGGCGATACCCTTCATAGTCTATTGAAATATTGGTGGATTTGAAATTAATAATATTCAAACCATTCAGGGCCGGTCTAGAATTTTCCATAAAGTTCCATAATTCAAAAGGCTAGATCCATGCCATTTATTAAAATGATTTTAATGGGACCACTTTTAAATTTTAACTCCATTATTTATCTGAATGATTTTTATAGGTTCCCCATCTCAGGCCTAAGTAAAACTGTACCTTATGGAATGGGCCCCACCAGGGCTACTCTTTTAACCTACATGAAAGATGGTTCTAGCTATTGCAGTTAGCTGTAGAATGTTTCATATTTGAATATTATCACTTAAAAAAAGTCATTTTTCACACTCTTCAAGGGGTTTTTTAAATTTAATCTAGAATGTTCCAGAAATTTCTATTTTGAACCAGTGGGATATATATAGAGTGGGATTTAAAAGCTAATTGAAATGTTACTTTAATTCTATACTTTCCTGGGGATTTTCTCAGTATCACTAAGTTAACTTTAAATACAGGAACCCATCTGGATCCCTATGGAGGTTGGGATGACACCAGGAAAGGGATCCCACGGTATCCTAATGGGGTTAGGATCCCACCAGTAACAGGATCCAATCAGGATATGGATCACACTTGGAATCAGGATCAAATCAGGATAAGGAATTGGCCTTTTGGGAATTGGATCCTATCAGGATTTAATAAGGAAACCATCGAGCGAGATCTGGATCACATAATGTAAAATGAGATCACAACAGGATCCACTGGGGATTGGAACGGAATCATATTTATAAATGTGTTTTTAGAGGAGAAAATTAAAAATTTAAATATTTTTTCATACTGATAAGGTTTTTTAAAGGGCCTTTAATTTCGACGTTAACTAAAGGGCTGTAGAAAAGAAGTTGTTTTTTCCAAATGCAATCCCAGGCCAAGAGGGTATATTGGCTAGTGTATGTGTGCATATATAAATATATATATCCTCTTCGAAATAATTCTTTACACATTAAAAGTAACACTGTGACTTAAATTAAAACGGTATAATGAAAACTGGATTTGAAATGGAGAGTAGTAATGTTGTTATCGGGTGTTTGTGGGCTCTTGGCCTTGCACTCAACTTTAACGCATCTTCATATTACATTTGACACACGTGCCATATCACATTTGAAAAAAGTTTCATATTTGAGATAACAAGAAAAGTCTGGATCAATAGAGGAAAATATTTATTAAATGGTCTGAAGAAAACAAAACATGGTGGAGTGGGATGGGGAACATGGGGAAATATATGTCATTACTCAATTTGCATACTTGTCTTGTCGACACAGGTAGTTAACATAGCTCTTTTTACACAACTGCATACGGCAATAGGTCTGCACAAAAATTAATTGCATTATTTTACATACAGCAAACGGTAATCATATGTACATATTCATGTATTTACATATACACATCCCACCTTGAACATATCATATCAAATTTCTACCCAACCCTTCAAATGCCACAAAAGATTTTAAAATACGTTCCTGTCACATCACAATTTTAGAAAATAACAACACAAAACTAAATTTACATTGGAAAAGAAAAAAAAAAGGGTGGGGGTGGTGGTGAAGAGAACAAATTATCACCCTGTTAATATTATTGCTGAAATAATCAAAAAGAATCTGAATGAAAATGTTACTGAAGACATGGTATTTCCATAAACATCCATTGACACATTCACATGTGTGGTCTGTGTGCTCCAAATCTGAAGTCACTTAAATTAAAACTAAATGTTAGGTGTCCAAGAAGCAGTGCACATTGATCAACAATGACAATCAAATTCAAAAAATCAATTTAGCCATTCATTACATCTCTGGAATTTTAAGAATTATCAGTTTTTAAATTCCTTTTACAGAAGAAATAGTCATTGTGTAAAGATAGTAGAAAAGTTAATTAAGGGGGAATATTAAAAAAAAAAAAAAAATTATATTAGAAATCTTCAAAATCAAGAGAACATTTGAGGTTAAAATTAATGTACTGTAAGAGAAAAAATAAATAAAATAAGTTTTAAATTAAATAAAAGTGTGTCTTTGTTAACATAATTACCAACAAATTCTAGAAAACATTTGGAGAAAAAATTATT